GTTTGGAACACATGCTCTCTCACTGACTTATGGGAGTTCACAGCCTTCTCTTCATTTCACACCAAAGCAGGGTTAGATTTAGAGACCTCCATCAGCCTGCCTTGGGCTATCGCACTCCCTTTGCCTGCTCTCCTCCTATTAGTTCAGAGAAACAGAACTAATAGGCTTACAACAGGCCTTCCCTAGCTGCAGATTCCACATCTGCAGGATCAACCAACCACGGATAGAAAATATTCAGGGGGGAAATGTTACGTTGCTGCTGACGTGTACTGTGTCCTTGGGCCTATGATGGTTTCATCTGTACTGAACACGTGCAGACTTTTTGGAATCATTGTTCCCTAAACAATACAGTATGACAACTATTTACATAGCACTTACATTGTGTTAGGTAATATAAGTAACCTAGAGATGATTTAAAGTACCTGAGAGGTTGTGCATAGGTTATATGCAATTGTTATATCCCTTCATATAAGGGACTTGAGTATTCGTGGATTTTATTATCCACTAGGGTCCTGAAATCAGTTCCCCACAGATGTTGAAGGATGACTGCATCTGTCTATCTACCTATCGATCATCTATCTATCGAGAGAAAGATTGAGTTTGAAATTGATGTATTTTAAGGAATTGCCCGCTAGCAAGTCCAAATTCTGTAAGGCCATCTTTCAGGCTAGAGATTCAGGTAAGAGTGATGTTGCCATCTTGACTCTGAAGGTTGAAGACTCAGCATTTCTCTGCTGTTGTCTACATGCAAAATCCCTTCTTCTTTGTAGAACCTCAGTCTTTTTTTTAAAATAAATTTTTATTGTTCATATTATTACAAATGTTCCTTTCCCCCCCCCCCCCCCGCGCATTTATCTCCTCCACCAGGTTCCCACCCCACTCTCTGCCCTTTCCCCACCCCCCATTGTCCTCATCCATAGGTGCACAGTTTATGTTCAGTCTCTTCCCACATTCCCCTCTCCCCTTTTCCCCAAGAATCGTCAGTTCACTCCCCTTCCATACCTCTGATTCTATTATATTCAACAGTTAATATTGTTCATCAGATTTTTTTTTTAATTTCCTTGGTTTTAAAAAAACCTAGAACCTCAGTCTTGGCTCATCATGCCTTCAATTCGTTGGGCAAGGCCCACCCACATTATGGCGAGTGATCTGCTTTACTTAAAGTCACTGGAGAGTAGATGTTAATCACAGCTGAAAAATACCTTCACAGCCACAGCTAGACTAGTGTTGACCAAACAATTAGTCGCCCTAATTTGGCCAAGTTAACACATGAAATTAACCATGATACTTTCTTCATTGGATTCAGACAAAATGGTATTACACTATCTCTGACCCTTGACCTACACTATCTGATATGACCTGTGGGTATTCCCAATTCCCACTGACCTGTCAGCAGGAGCCTTTTCTGCTCCTTTTTTCTATGTTACATTAGCTTTCATTTTTATTAAACCCACCCTGTGTCTCATTTTTCCCTGACTGGTTTCACCCTGACTGATCTATGTACTCTACAACACAAGTAAGTGTACCAGACTGGTATATATAGTACACTTACTATTTGCAACATGGTATTCATTTTGAAAGTAAAGTAGCAAACAGTATGTTCTAGATTTTCTGGGACTATCCAAATAGTCTGTTGTTATTTTTAATGAGAATCATGCTTCAAATACACACCAAAAGGTGATTATTTCTACAATGCATTGAGGCTTTGTATAGAAATAATTTTTTAAAAATAAATATTTTCCACATCATGAGACTTCTGGTTTTAGGTTTAGAAAATATAGTTACCATCAAATTTGTTCTTACTCATTATAGAGCAATTGAATGAAGTCTTGGATCCATTAGAAGTAGTATTATTTAATATTTGGTGCCTATACCAGCAACGATCACTCTCTTAAGTTTTGTGGGTGGGGTGCTTACGAAACACAGCAGAAATGAGAAGAAGGTGGGTAAGAGCGTATTTCAGTTTAAAATAGTATCTAGCTGGGCATCTTGGCACAGGTTGGATTATATAAAATAGAAAGAGTGGTATTGTTGAAGGAGCTTCAGGATGGATTTAGGATATTCATTCATACCTGAGCATTACCTGTGATTATCCCCGTGATGGTTGACCAGTTTCCTCTTCTGTAAACTATTATTTGAAGCCTAGGATAATGTATGTTAAGGTTCTGAGTAGAAGTTGTACAGTGTCAACAGTTGTTTTAAGAAGCCACAGTTGTTAGGGAAATTTTGTGGAGAATTTTGTAACCCAGGTGACATGGGTATTCATGATCTGATCTTCCATGCTGATTTGACTCTGTGCCCGTGAAGATCTGGTGTAGCTTGAAGCAATGGTGGTGTCCAGCACCAGCTGTTGAGCACTTAAATAAAGTGATTTCAGATATAAGGAGACTGGGGGAGGGATTCCCGAAACATGGGGGGATAAATCTGGCAGGATGTGGTGAGTGTACCCATGGGATTCGAGAAAGGGAAGAGCTAAGGAAGAAGCCAGTTTGAAGAGATGAGGTCTTTGGTGGACCCTGTGAGCTGTGATCACCAGCCATGTATATCTGAACCCCAGAGAAAAATTAGGGCTGTGGAGATCAAATTTGGGAATAATTAACATATGCCTCGTGGTTAAACCCAGGAGGTCTCCGAGTGAAGTGTAGCGTGGTAAGAACTTGTGGCTGAGGATGAATCCTGCAAAACACAACCTAATCCTCACCATTATCGTGCACGGGAGCCTTGCTCAGTAACAGTTATGAATGAGCAAATGAGTGAAGGAGTGAATGGGAAACAAACATAGCTCAATTTCAAAAACAGTCAAATGACTTTGGGAGAAAGAGAAAAGAAGTTGCCTGGTCTAGAGTGAGGTAGAAAACCAGAAGTGTCAAGGCCCCCAGGGTCTAGCCAAACAGTGGTCTTTATAAAATCCAAATGCAGTTTTCCTGGTTAAGAAGGACTGCTCACCCTTCCTGGTAAACTGTTGTGCAGCCTGTATCAAGCCTTTGTTGAGTTAAAATCCCATAACCCAAGCATGTCAGACTTGCAGCCCACAGGCCGCATGGCTCACATATTTGGCCCGTGTTAGCCTTTGAGTTTGACATGCTTGCCTTAACCCATTAATTCCACTTCCAGGAATCCACCCAAAGAAAGTACCTAGTGCTACAGACAAAAATTTATGTAGAGGGGAAAAAAAGATTTATGTAGAAAGATGGTTCGTATTCCTGAGACATGAATGGCCCTGGAAGGCTTGGGTTGAGGTGTTTTTAAAGTTTTGATACTGTCTACAGCTACAGTTCAGGATGCAGAATGTTCATTAATGTTTAAGATAGAAGATGAGCAAAGAAATCTTTTTATTTGCTCTCATACCCTCCACTATTCTCTGGTCTTGGAGTTCCCTTAGTGGGGAAGTTGGGGATATTCTGGCCTGCAGGATGAAGTGAGAGCCTTTGTTGGCATCCATGATATGGCCCTTGTGATTTCCAGTTCAACCTCATTTCGGGGCATTCCTGGCTTCTCATGTCACATTCCAGAAACATTTTGAAGTTTCTTGAATACATCAGGATGTTGTACACCGCCAAGTTTTTGCCCATGGTAACCCTTCCTTCTCTCTATCTACATTGCCCTTCTGCCATTTAGTGAACTCCTAGTCATTCTTCAAACAAAACCATTTATGTGAAGTGCCTAATGCAGTCAGTGCCTGGCACATAGTAGGTCTACAGTAAGTGGTAATTACTACTATTGCTATTGTTGTGTCCAGCACAGGCTAGACTTTGTAGAAAAGAGTGGACTGGCATGTTTGCATCTGCCCTAAATTGTCTTCTAGAATGTGTGGTGCATTGAACTAAAATGACCTTCTGCTTAAAGTTGGACGGTTCATCCAACGACGGCTGCCAAGGCTTGCTCTTCCCTAAGAGAGAGAAACTCCATGCTGGTATTTCTTACTAATTCTCAAATGGAGGTGATCTCTGCAGAGGTCTCAGGATTTTCTGAGGTCATTTGCTTAGGGATTAGTGACTAGGACTTAACACAATTTGGAGGTCTCTACCTCCTGGTTGATTTGAGCATCCTTGCCCAGAAAGTCCCCTAAAGTTCATCTTCTAGTTTTGGCTGGCTCTTGCTTTATTTTATCAGGCTATTACTTTTATGGTTTGTTTTGTTTAGTTTTTCACTTATGGCTACTACGTTCAGTTATCTGGGGGGAGTTTTTTAGGGAGAGGAGAGTTAAAATGCCACAATACTCGATGTGGCCATTAGGCCCCCCACTTACGGTGCCCAGAAAGTGAGAAGGCACTTACACATTACCTAGACTGCATGGTGTGGACTGTGTCCTGCAGAATCATACATCTGCCCGAGCAGCACCTGTGGGCCTGGCATGGTCTCTGCTCCTCCAGCTTCCCCGGGGACCAGCCAGCACCCCCAAGCAGGTGTCCCCTCTTGTGGGAACGTGCGCATCTGCTCTCCCACCGTGGTGATTTTCCCCATCTCAGCCCTTCGCTGCCAAAACAATTGTTTAAAAGAGGAAGCTCTTTGAGTCATAAAATGTCATCAGGTAGTTAGGATGTACTTATGTAGGCATACTGGATTATACAGTCGCCTGGTTGGCAGGAAGTAGGTGATTCATCAGAAAAAGAAAAAAAAAAAAGATGAAAAATAAACTCTTACCAAATGAACTTCCTCTTTCAAACTCTCTTTGTTTCAGCTCATCCTTTTAGAGCCTTTCCTAGCCTCTTAGAAAAAAATAAATAAATAAAAATAAAACTAATAGTACAGTGTTTCAAAGACAGGTCATCCCCGCTCTTCGCAGCTCCTTGCAGTGTTTTCCCGTGGTTAGAAAGAACGAGGCCCATGCTCTCTGCCCCCAGCCAGGCCAGGGCTGGGGTGCATGTACTGCCTGCACACGGTGCCTCCGCCAGCTCCCTGGGTTTCACGTTGAGGCGTTTTGGATGTTTTCTGTGTAGAGCATCTTGTTGGTCGAGCATTCCATTCACGTGGTTCTCTCCATTTTGTTTGCCTCACAGGTCCAGGAGGCGGCCAGTCGGGGCCTGAAATTCGTGAGTGTCATCCCTCAGTACCACTGCCCTGTGAACTCAGCAGGCAGCAGCCCCCCGGTGCGGGGTGGGGACAAGAACCCAGGGGCTCCAGCACAAGCGGATGGAGGAAGCCCAGAGCCAAACCAGGGCCCAGGAGGGGAGGCACCCATCACCGCCACACAGCCCAGCTTGCCTTTGGAAGTGGAGGACGGTGCAGACTTTTCCAAGACTCCGGATGGACCAGACGGGGAACTGTCCGAAGTGCCTGGGGAACCGCCCTCGGGAAGTAAGTATGTCGGCCCAGGGACTATTGGCCCGAGGGAAGAGAGGCTGACCGCTCCTTGGAATCCCCGTGGCATTTTACGAAAAAAGAAATGGGATGAGAATGTAGATGTAGAGCGCCATCCATCAAACAGGGGAACGTTGATCAAGTGCTTTTTCTGGGCCTCGTGACTTCCGGGGGAGAGGGGGGCGGGGGAGCAGAACCACACGAAATTGACTCGCAGTTGCTCCAAAATGGGCACGTTTGAAGTGGATTCTCACCCTTGAGTTATTTCGCCCACGTGCTTTCTTGCACTGCCCTTGAGTTACCCCCTGTAACACAGGAAGTGCTCACGTGCCGGCACCCATGCAAAGCAGAGGCTCCATTTTGGGTTCACTTGTTTTAAATATCTGCCTAAAGAAAGAAACGAGAAAGCCAGCTGAGGACATGTGGTGTGGGAAACGGGTGACTCAGACTCAGTAGGCCGGAAACAGCCAGATTTCAGGGAGGTGCGTGGACAGATCGGCACCATGCAGAGAACACTCACGTGGCCAATGTGTGAATCCTCTGAATCTCATGATAACGGCCGTTAGAGCATGCCCTTTTGGTTGGGGATTTCAAATAACAACACAATGCAGAAACCGACATGTGTGACTACTTCCTGGGTTCCAGGCCCTGTGCCAGTACACATTTTATATGACCCATCTCTTCGTTCTCCCGTCAGCTCCAGGATTTGGGTGAGCTCTCGTGTGGCCCATTTTTCAGCAGAGTAAACTGAGGTTGCAGAGTAAACCTTTGTCCAGGCTGGGTATTGGCTGGTCTGGCATGTGAACCCAGGCAGGCTTAGCCATCATCCCAATTCACCTCTCCACTTGGTCTTTGCTGTGTAATATCCCCACAGACTCACAAGATTTATTGGGGCCCTCAGTGTATAGACAGTTATATTTCTCTTTGCTCCCCCTCAATTCCCTTTCCTCTTCTTTCTCCAGCAAATCTAGCCTCCAGCCGTTTCCTGAGAGCCAGGTACTTACGTGAGCTGGGTGGCCTCTTCCAGTCTTTGGAAGGAGAATCAGTAACAAGACTGACAGGAGGCGACCCCAAGCCTTAGGAGGCCTTTCTCTCTTTCGCCTTTCTGTATCACCTCCCTGGTTAACGTTATTATTTATTTACTAATTCTTGAAATTAGCCTTCAATAAATGATGAAGAGTGGTGCTTGCTCTGAGAATAGCAAAGAAGGTGAAGTGTGTGTGTGTGTGTGTGGGGGGGGGTTGTTATGTCAGTACTTCCTGAAAAGTGCACTGTGGGATGGTTCATCCTGGGGGCTTATTTGCCACGTTGATTTAGAGCAGTGGTTCTCCACCTTTCTAATGCCGCTGGCCCTTTAATGCAGTGCCTCACGCTGTGGTGACCCCCAACCATAAAATTATTGTCGTTGCTACTTCATAACTATAATTTTGCTCCTGTGAATGAATCGTAATGTAAATATCTGTATTTTCAGATGGTCTTGGGTGCGACCCACAGGTTGAGAACTGTTAGCAGGGTCGCCTAAGACCATCGGAAAACACATATTTATTTACATTACGACTCATTAACAGGAGCAAAATTACAGTCATGAAGTAGCAACGAAAATAATTTTATGTTAGCGGGTCACCACAACATGAGGAGCTGTATTAAAGACTTGGGCTTTAGGGAGGTGGAGAACCACTGGTTTAGAGGGAGAGAGATTGGCGCTGCCTCGGTTTTTGGAAGTATTAGGATTTCGTTTATTCTAGGCCCAGATCCCTGTTAGGTACTGCAGTAGAGCTCTTTGTCTGTGGGATTTTTCACTGTTCGAGGTAGACTTCTGCTCCCTCCAGAGTAGCTGAGAGCACATTGAGACCCTGTCTATGCCTCCTAATGAATGTCCAACCTCCCTCCGCTCATTGCTAATGGGCTGGGTGTGTGCGTGCTGAGAAGGAAGACGGACCCCTTGAAGCCCTTCTCTACAATCCAGGATCTTGGGGTTGTGGGGGAGGGGGGGATGAGGGGCAGGAGCTGTGGTGAGGCAGGTGACACGCGGTTAGGAACCTGGAGTCTATTTCCATGCCAGACTGCTACCTTCTAGCGAGGCAGTCTTCCATGCCTCTGTGTCTTACCCTGGAACATAGGGATAGAACAATAATTTGTTGATGGAAGGTTAAATGACATGCACATTTGAAATACTTGGCGCTGCTTGACTTCTGAATGTGAGCTGTTAGTATTGGGGTACAGGTTGCTCTGAATGGAACCCTGGCTTTGAGAAAGGAGGCAGTTTATACTAAGGTTCCCCTCGGGGGGTTTCAGATTCCTCCTGCTCCAGAAGCCACCTTTCCCCAAGCTATTTTCCAGGTGTCCTGCCTTCTGTGTTTGACTCCAGGGAGAGTTCACTGGGGCGGTTTATCCCAGGATCCACCTCTCCCTGGGTGCCGCCTGCTGCCCTGTAACTGTTCACCGCCCTCACATAAAGACTCCCCCGGCCACAGGACACCCAGAGACCCCTGATCACCAGCGTGTCCTGGCCTGTGTGGCATCTCCCCAGGTCCCTATTCTCCACTAGAAAACTAGTTCCTGCCGGGGAATACGGGTTCATGTGTGTCTGGATGTGGTCAACTAAACAGTGGAAAGGAATGTTAGCTGTGTAGGGTGTTGTACCACCTCCCCCATCTCACTACGTGGGCACCTGTCTGTTGTCTAGACATGAGGCTGGCTCTTAACTCTCTGCTCAGGAGGCCACAGGTCCCTGAAATGTAGGCATCTCACTGTCATCCTTTTCCTCTCCTTGTGGAATAAATGAGTCTTTGGGTTTTGTTTTGTTTTGTTTTTTTTCAGCAGTGAATGAACAACAGGGGTTGCTAGTGCCCTTGCATGGCCTTGTGGGGATGGCCCTCTAAGTGGTCTCGATTCTCCCTGTGTGTCCTCTTGATGGCACCTCATGGCAGCTTCATGACAGAAGGTGCTGTCGTTGGTTGTGCCCATTTCACAGATGAGGAAAGTCGCCTCCCAGGCCCGCCGAGGGTTAAGTTTTATCTCCTAGCGTCAGCCATCAGCCTGCTTAAAGGCCAGATGTCCAGGAACCCTGTCCCCATTGGCCATGGCCCTCATCCCACCGCAGCCTCTCTCCTAATCTTCATCCTGGGAACTCTTCTCCTTGCACCAGCCCCAAACGCGCCCCCCCACCCTCTCTCCCAAGCTTCCCCTCTCTGCTGCTTGCTCAGCGTTCAGCTTGCCTTCCTCTCAGGGCCCCCTAAGGAGGGTGAAGTGTTTTTACTCCTCCTCCTGCCAGGTGGGCTTAAATAGGCAATCACAGCAAGACAATTAAAAGAAGTCCCGAGGGAGCCTTCCCTCCTTCCCCCCCTTTCTCCTCCGTTAATTTATTTCCTTTATAGGAGGCCTCGGGGAGCCAGTCGAAGCCGGGGCTGCTCAGATAGGGCTTGCCGGCGAATTCCCTCCATCAGACACGGAGCGGGCGGCCCCTCCTCACCCCCACGGGCTCCGGGGAACAGCGGCTCTGGTTTGGAGGTTATGCCACGTGTCCCCTCGGCCCCCTTGGAGGCCCATCACGTGGTTTTCTTCCTGCTCATTGACTTTTATTTCCTGGTTTCGGGGGATTTCCTGTTGGTTTAATGGCCTCGCCGCCGTGCTGCAGCGATCACCTGAGCTGGTGCGGGGACAGCCCATGCCCGGCTGCTCCAGGATGCTTCCCCTTTCCCTCCCACACTCCCCTGTGCCCCAGGCAGCTCTGCTCAGGGCCAGGCCCCTTGGGAGGCAGCTCTGTCCGGAGGGAGCTCGCGTGCTTCCTTTGTAACAAGCAGGCCGGTGGGAAGGCCGGGGAGGGAGAGGTTAGGCAGGGAGAGGTCGCCGATGTCCACCTGCCACTTCTCTCCTGGCCTCCAGCATCCCGGCCTTGTCCTTCCCTCAGTTAGCGCTGTTGCTGCAACTTCAGCCACAGAAACGAGGAGGCCGGACAGGTTCGTGCAAATGGAAACTGTTCTCGCTGTCACTGAGATAACACAGTGTCTTCCAAGCATCGCCCTTCTTACCCTCAAATGCTTAGTGTTAGGCAGAAACCTGGGTCAGGGGTCTCCATGGCACTGCGTGGCTGAGGGCATTGTAGTCCGCAGGCCTCCTTGCTGGGCAGCTCATTGTGAGAGGAGAGAGGAGGGAGGTGCTCTCCCAAGTCTGGCTTTTCTGATACGTGGCCCCTCCCTTCCCTGTGCCCCCAGGATAGTTCTACCCTGTGGTCCTGCTCTTACCCCCACCCCCACATCTGCCACCTGCCACCATCTTCTGGCCTTTCACTCAGCCCATTAGCAAACAGCTATTGAGCTCCCACCCGCAGCCCTCGGCTCCCGCCTTCTGTGCACTGATGACATTAGCCTCTTGTTAGATTTGGGAAACAGCCCAGGCTTGGGGTTTGAAAGGCTCTTGGCTTTGCCACTTACCAGCTTGTGATTTCTGGGGGGATCCACTTAAGGTTTCTGGGCACAAAACCAATGGAGAAGGTAAAGGCCTTGTCAATATAGTGTGTGTGCCTGTGGCTGCAGTGGGTTATCCTTACTGATGGGTTCCCATGGCGTGCTGTGTATGCAGTGGTGCCCACACTCTGCCCTGGCACACAGAGGTGCCCGCGGTTAGTGCCGGAGCCTGATCAAAGCCTGAAGCAGCCTTCTCCCAGATTGAGGAAGAATTTGGACAGGCCCAAGGCCCCCTGCCCTCTCTCCCACCATGGTGCCCACAGCCCTGCCTTCCCAGTGCAGACCTTTCGGCTTAGTTCCCCCAGCTTCCCCTGTCCATGACCTCAGGAGATCTTACCCCCCACTTAGTCCAGCTACCAGGCCAAGTCTGACCCCCACTTGTTTCTTCCCATCCAGCTAACTCACCAGCCTTCTTCTCCTCCTAGTCTAGCCCTTGGAGCCCCCGTGCCTTGAGCCAGACTCTGAGCTCTCTCTTCCCTCCAGCCTGGGGGACTCCTGGAGCGCCCGCTGGCCCCTCTGCTGCCCACACGTCATCGCCTCTCTGGGGCCTTGCCTGCAGGCAGGCTGCAGACTTCCACTGCATACCTCAGCTCCCACTGCCTGCTGCAGCCTCAGACCTGGGCATCTGTCTCCTTCCTCCCTGCCCCCCGCTGCTCAGCAAGGCCAGGGTGGGCTGCTGTCAGACAGGCAGCACCCAGTGTGCCCACACCCCCTCTCCCTTTCCCGGCTTCCCGCATTATCTGGCTCAGGCCAATCAGCAGACACGTGTGCATCATCTGTCATATCACAGGGACAGTCCTTGTCAGAGAGGATCGGAACGGCACAAGGAGGAATGAGAAAGACAACAAGATAGAAATACAACACGGTCTTTGTGTTGTTTTTTTAAATATGTTTTTATTGAATTTTAGGGATGAGGGGGGAGAGAGAGAGAGAAAGTGAGAGAGAGAGAGAGAGAGAGAGAGAGAGAGAGAGAGAGAGAGAGAGAGGGGGTGGGGGGGGGAGGGAGAAGCATTGACGAGATGAGAAAGGAATATCATTGAGCGGCTGCCTTCCGCATGTGGGGATTGAGCCCCACAACCTAGGCATGTGCCCTGATGAAGAATCAAAACAGTGATTTCTTGGTTCCTGCGTCGAAGCTCAACCCCTGAGCCACGCCAGCCAGGCACAATAAGACAGTCTCGATGCTTCTTCAGTGTTCTGCTAGGCCCCATCTCCAGCCATTCTCAGAACATTCTCAGAAACAATGCCTCTCCCCCCCCCACCCCTCTCCTCTGGGACTTTCTGTCCGATGTCTGGAAAAGTCTCCCAGCTGGGGTCATGCGTGAGTCACCGAGCAGCTGAGAAGCTTTAAACAAACGTGGGGCTTCTCTCTGAACTCCCTGGTGCCTGCTCATGTGAGGATGTGTTTCGGAGAATCAGAATATTAAAACATCAAAGGACGTCACTCAGGGACAGTTTCTCTTGGCTGGTTTCCACGTGAGTAGAGAGAGGATCGTGGCCAAGGAGACAGGGGGGACGGAGTTGACCACAGGGTTATGCAGCTGAAATCGGGTTTCTCCCAATATTTCATTTCTCCGAATGCTTGGGAGGCTATTGATTCCAACAGCACTTCCTTTCCTTCCTGACAAAACGTATTTCTGTCTCTGGCCTCGGTCCTCCTCCCTGGGGAGGGTCCAGATGGGAAGATGGGGGTGGGGTAGAGGGGGGAGGGCCTGTGACCCCACTGCACCATGTGTGATAGGCCCTACCTCCCCTTCGCACCGCACCGCACTCTCACTTCTCACTCCGGCCTTCCCCTTTTTCTGTTCTGTTTCGAGTCGGGGAAAGTTGTGTTTCTGTCTTGCCTTATGTGTGGGGAATCCTGTGTAATCAGGTCGTCATATAGCTTTGGTCTTTAGCCGCTCCCAAATTCCCCACTCACTTCTCCCACGTAAAGGCTGGGGTTTCTCCTTAATTCCTATGGATTCGTGCATGACGATAGCAGGTGATAGTGCTCTGGCCCATCTGGAAGTCCCCTGGGACCAGCTTTCTCAGCCTCGGCCTGCAGTGGTCCCGAGAACAGCCTCAAATCCCAGGAATCTGGCTGGGCCCAGGCTCAGCAGGCCCAGGATGAATGCCTCTGATAGACCCTCCCTTCCTCCACCTGCGGCCAGACATTCCTGAGCTCTGAACCACCAATCAGCACCTGCCAAATACCCTAAGTCCCCCCCCCCCCATTCCTAAATCCCTAGGTCTCTAATCACCAATCAGGGTGTGCTGAGTGCCCTAAGCCCCATCCCCTATCCTTAACGGTGCTTGTACCCCGGCCCTCGCTCTCTCCCGCCCCTCTCTGAAAGCAGCCACAGGGGTACCCTTCCCTCAATAAAGCCTGTGTCCTGCCATCCCGGTCTCCGGCCCTTCTCTATTTCATCTATCAGCCTCAAGGGTGGCCCTCAGTCCCTGAGGATCACGGCCCTGGCTGGCTCGCCCCCTTGGTAAGGCAACCTGGGGTGTGTCCTCTACGGCACCTGAGGAGAACTGAGCCTGTATGATCCGAACGGTAACCCTCGCGTTAATGCACCCTTTGTGGGCACTCATCTCTTTCCCTGTTTCCCACCCCTACCCCCTCACTCTGTTTCCCGGGATCACTTCCCAGATCGCCAGTGGCACCCAAAGGCTTTGCAGGCTCTGTGTCTGAAGAAATCCAAATGATGTGAAGGGCTCCTCTGAGCATTGCTTAGCCTCCTGCCTTTGTAGCTTTGGCTCCTACATAAAGCCCTGGCACCTGCGGCTGAGAAACGCCTGATTATCTAGTTCACATCCTGTCCTTCCCCAGCCCTAGCCCCAATGCGTTGCTTGGATCCCCTCGTGACACATCTTGCTTTGCACGACCCCATCCCTCTCAAGTGTGTGTCTGAAGGTCACGAAATAGTGTAGCGGCGGCCAGTTTTGTACACCGAGACCTCCTTTATCTGCTGTGAAAGCCTCCCCTGGCTGGGACAGCTTCCTGAGTCAGACAGGCGGGCTGAGAAAGGTTTTTTGGGGTGGGGGACAAGGACGAGGCCAGAGGTCCTCGTTGGAAATCCAGGTGGCCACTTGTGAAGATGGGCACTTTCCTTTCCCAACTGGTCCCCGCCAGTGGATAGCGGGAAATGAGCCCCCCTCACCTCCCGCCTTCCCCGTGGAGCTTCGCTCTTGCTGATGACAAAGGCTCCTGGCCCAGCATTGCTCCCCAGAGATCTCTGCTGAAGCTGGCTCAGATGGGGCTGCGAAAAGACTTCCTCTGTCCAGAAGACAGTTCCTGCGTGAGATAATATTAGATGCTTCCCGGAATGGACATATTTGCCTTGTCATTCCCTCCTGTTTGCAGCAAGTGGTCGTTGTTTCCCTTAGAATCTGGAAGCAGGGTTTCCTTTTACGATGCATTTATTTGAATAAAGGAAAGTGAGTCTGTTTATTTGGCTAGGGCAACAATGGTGAAACATGGGCAGGTCAGCGGCAGCGTCTCGGAGCATGGATGTAGGCCAGGTGTCTCCTGCGGAGAGCATGAGGGTGACATTTGGCTTTTTTTTTTTTTTTTTTTTTGCTAGTGTTGATGGCCTTTAAAATATTTCTTTGAAAGAAGGGCAGGGATTTTCTTATCGAAACGGATATTTTTGGAAACCAATGCCTATGCCTGTGCAGCCTGGGGAAGCAGGGTTTTTTAAGCTGGGTTGAGTCCTGATGGCTTGACTCAATGAGAAACCCAAAAATAGACCTTCGGACTGAGATGGAAATTCCAGGTCCTCGCTGCGGAGGCCAGGACTGCTCGCTCGTGGCCTGCGGCACGTAGGGCAGGCACGGGGTGGTGACTATTGATTTTTGAAAAGCCAGGCCATAAAGAAGGGGACAGGAAGTTCAGTGCCCGTCCCCCCTCTCCCCCTCCCCCCCAATGCAATGTCTGCCTGCCTGGCTGAGCAGACCTTCCACGCCAGGCAGGAACCCTCATTTACCGGAACGTATTTATTTTTACATATCAATGATGTGTTTTTGATGTGCTTGATTAAGTATTATGGGCTCAGCCCCAGGAAACACCATTGCAGTTTATAAATAGCTGAGTTGAGGGGTGGACAAGGTTCCTGGAATTACAGCAGTATTTCTGCTTTTATGTGCCTGTGTACATTGATGACTGTGTGTGTGTGTGTGTGTGTGTGTGTGTGTGTGTGTGTGTGTGTGTTTTCAGACCAGCTCTCGCCCAAGTGCGTCTGCTTTTTCTTTCAAAACACCTTTGTGTGAACTCTCTACTTTGTCCTTCTCTCAAACGCCTACCTGCACAGATGAATCATTCCAGATAACATGCTATGCCCGATTCAAAGCTTCTGAGTCTCCACTTGGAGTTCATGAGGCCATGTCCCCTTCAGAGCACCCCTAGCTCTCTGCCTGGAATCGGGTTTTATTGTCTGGCAAGGGCACTCCCTCGCCGAGATTTCAGCTCTGAGGTCATTTCCCAGGCTCCCGAGAGATTCCACTAGACCCAAGGAGGCAGCTCTGATCCCCGTCTAAAGGCTTGTCTCCCCACAGAAACGGAGATCTTCGCCCTCTTCAACAAACCGAAGAGCCACCAGGAGTGCCGGCAGTACTACACGGTCAGCATTCCTCTCCGGGTCTCCACCAACGGCCAGGCAGTGAGCGGTTTGGATGCCAACTGGCTGGAGCACATGAGTGACCACTTCCGGAAAGGAGGCGTGCTGGTGAATGCCATCTTCTACCTGGGCCTGGTCAACGGTATGGAACCCACAGCCCTCGGGGGGGGGGGGGCCTGGAGACCTTTGCTTCTCGTTCTTGTCCCCTTGGCCCTGTGGTCGGCAAACTGGGGCTCTCGAGCCACAGGCAGCTCTTTGGTCCCCTGAATGTGGCTCTTCCACAAAATACCCCGGCCTGGGCAAGTCTGTTTTGAAGGAGTGGTGTCAGAAGAAGTTTAAAAGTTTAAAAAATGTGGCTCTCCAAAGAAATTTCAATCGTTGTCCTGTTGACATTTGACTCTGTTGACTGATGAGTTTGCCGACCACTGTCCTAACCCATCTTCGGAGCCTGCTTTGCTCCGAGAACTCGGCGGCTGATAAATGCGCTGCATTTGATTTCTCACGAACACGCCCTGAGGCGTTTTCCATAAAGCCCGCCACCTATGCTCTCTCTCTCCACCTCGCCAGGGGTCAGCCAGATCTTTTCTAAAACGCCAGGGACAGAGGCGTGATTCCTTTTCACTGGTGGTGGTCTCCATCTGTGTTGCTTTTCAAAGATTTCCCCCCCCCCCCGCCCCGGTTTTGTTAATTGCCCCCTGGGGATCATGCCTTTCCAAAAGTGTGAATTGTTTGTAGACACCCTTACAGTTTGGAGTAGCAGTGGCAGCACCTCGGAATTAGCAGCTGAGACGTGCGCCGAACAGCCTGGCTCCCGCGAGCTCCGTGGGGACACGCGCTGTTCCCGGGGCTCGTGGCCCCCACAACGCCCTCCCCGGGGATGGGTTCTCTCTGGGGGTTGTTGCACGGGGTGGCAGCAACACAAACGGAGATTGCTGGTGTCAGCTTTGCGAAGGCAGAGAGCAAGTCTGCCCGACCTGGGAAATGTGTCGAGCAATGAGGAGGGTTTTGGGGTTCACACAAAGGCGCGTTGAGTCACTGGGGGTGTATCCACCTGGGAGGCAACTGGGGAGTGGGGCCAACAAGCCCGCCGCTGTGGATCCTGAGGGCTGCCAGCCAGCAGGACTCCCAGGTAAGCGAAATGTTGCACCGAATCTGTTAATCCCACAAAACGTGTGTGTGTGTGTGTGTGTGTGTGTGTGTGTGTGTGTGTGTGTGTTGGTGGCGGGAGTGGGGAGGCATCAACAGCGCAGCATCTGGGTTGTTGAGTTGTTTTCTCTCAAGGGTTAGCAAAGTCAGGAATGGAGTTGGATTTTGCGTGATTTGCCATGCATGTCAGCAAACACACACAGCAGAGTCATCAGTCTTCATTCTGGATGTACCTTCTATGTGTCACCCAAAGCTTTTGGAACCCTACAGCACAGACAGGCCTCAACATTGGACGCCCTCCCTTGTTACTATAGAAATATCAATAGCTAAGTTAATGCGGTAGCCTAGTAGCAGCGGGCATCGGGTGGTAGAGTGGTCAGAGCCACCTGTGCGGTGGATGAAGGACATAAGAAAGGTGACGGGTTCGTTATGAACACATCCCGAGCAGCGCTGTCCCAATAGGACTTTGTGCCATGATGGGAATGTTCTATTTCTGTAATGTCCAGTATGGTAGCCACGCGTGGCTAATGACCAGTTGAAATATGGCTAGGAGGGCTGAGAAGTTGAAATTTTAGAATTTCATTTCCATTCGTTTAAATTTTCAGTGACTGTCCAGCCAGTGTGGTCAACCCAGGCACCAAGAGGTCGCCGGTTCAGTTCCCAGTCAGGGCACAGACCCAGTTTGTGGCTTGATCCCCCGCGGCGGGCAATGAATGATGTTTCTCATCAATGTTTCTATCTCTCTAGCCCTTTCTCTTCCTCTCTCTCTACAAAAAAAAAAAAAAAAAAAAAAAAAAAAAAAATCAAGTTTCAAGGACTGTGTGTGGCTAGTGGCTAGTGTGCTGGACAGCACAGTGCTAGCATATCCATTGCATGGATGTAACTAAGGAAGAGTCCATTCGGTTCTCTGGCAACAAGGTCGGGAACCTCCCTGTATACAAGGCGGCTTTCCATGGTGCTTGCAACGTCCCCTGAAGCTAGAGAATGTCACCATCTGTTCTGAGATGCACCACAACACATCCGTGGCATCGGCTTGGGGGAAATGTTCGCAGCCCTGACTCATCAGCACTTGGGGAGAACTCTTCACTTCCTGCTTCCTGCAGGGACACCCCATCTCCCATCTTGGGTAGTGGTCGCATCAGCTCCTTTTATATCTTCTGGGCACTCCTGGAGGCTCCCTGTGGCTGCGCACGGTGGTGCGTTTCTCCTTGGGAAAGGCGGATGGGATGGTTCATTGGGCTCACATCTGAAAGCTGCAGGGAGGCACTGAAGGTGCAGCTACACAGCCAGCCGCTGGTCAACACACACACACACACACACACACACACACACACACACCCGCTTAGGAGCACTGGGGGGTCAAAAGAGACGTGTTTTGTGTGTTTTTTTGTCTTTGACTGCCCGACACATCAGGGGCAAGCTGAACCCAAGAGGTCACCTTGAACGTTCGCAGTGCCGTTCACTGTCTCTCTGGCCATTGTGGCTTTGGCAATGGAGGCTGAGTCTCCTCACTCCTCCTCGCCCCGTTCTTCCACCTGGAGTCCAGCTGCACAGACTTTTCCTCTGATTTGACTCGGGTGTTTGAGATGCCGTCTGTCCCCCATTGGCTTTGCTGCGTTCAATCCAGCCTTCCTTCCTGGAAGACGCAAGGTGAAATTCCCCCTGGCAGCGCAGCTGTGAGCGCCTGCACCGAGCTGGGGCATCTCCATGGAGAGGCTGTCCATGGCGAGGGTTCCGCCCACGCTGCCACATCTCTGTCGCAGGGATGGCGGCTGCAAAACTCTCAGGACAGAATTCATTTAAGCCCTCTCAACATTCAAACCCGATTCCGCCCTGTGTGCTTCTGGCAGGAGGGAGAGTGTGGCTTGGGGATAATGCTCAGTGGGTTAGGGCGTGTCTGCTCTGGAAAAGCCCAAGGTTTCCGTTGGCCAGGGATGAAATATGCATATGTGCTTTTCCCAGAACTGGAAGAAAGAAAAAAAAAAAAAAAAAGCAAGGTATTTACTCATAATTAGAAAAGGAACCTGTTTCTAAGAAGACAATTAGTGTCCTTACAAATAGAGCTGGAAGCACATCTTTAAGCTGTTTGCCATCTGGAAAAGCACCCGTCTTACTCCTGCCTGGGTCTTTGTACTCCAGATTATTTTCCAGAGTGGGAGAACTTTGTCCCATAAAGAAGGCAGTGTTTCAGCCCAAATTACACAGTTAAGATTCCAGCTTCTGTTTTCGAGGCTCTGCTCCCCAGGACATGGAAAGACTCGCATGTCCTCCATCAAGCCCCACCAGATGGGGGGCATGGCCTGAGGTCCCCTGTCAAGCCCCACAAGGCCGGGGGGTGGCACAGCCTCAGATCCCCCATCAAGCCCCTCTGGGCAGGGGCACGGCCTGAGTGTCCCCGAGCCAGCACTGGGGGTGCACCTTGAGGTCCCCCCTCAAGCCCCGCTTGGTGGGGGCACGGCCTAAGGCCCCCTGTCAAGCTTCAGCTGCTGGGGGGCATGGCCTGAGGTCCCCAGCCTGGTGCTGGGGTTGGGGGAGCAGCCTGAGGTCCCCTAGCCCAGCACCAGGATAAGAAGCACACCTTGAGGTCCCCCTTCAAGCCCACTGGGTGGGGGCATGGCCTGAGGTCCCCTGTCGAGCCCACAGGGGCGGGGGAGGGCGTAGCCTCAGGCCCCTGCTCATTAAGGCTCCTTATGGGAACTTGGCCTCAGCTGTGGGTGCAGCCATCTTTGTTACAGAATGATGGTCAGTTAGCATATCCCCTCTTTATTAGATAGGATACTTCCAAACCCTCACACAGGTCCTGTGTGCCCTGTTCACCTTAGGAGGACCAAAGAGCTAGGAGTGGAGGGAAGGGAAGGGGACCAAAGAGCCAGGGGTGGAGGGAATGGGAAGAGAGAGTGAGGTCCGTCCAGCTGCTCCGGGTAGCCGCTCCCTTGGAACGCGGCCGTCTCCCAGAACATTTGGCCTGGTGCTTCCAGGCCTGGCTTCTCTCTCTCAAGGAATAAGGTAAGCTTATTAATAAGGTAAGCCTCACTTAGAGCATGAAGTGCATTTTCTCTTGGACCCATCGCACATCCTTCAGTGAACATCGTATTGCAGGCAGGCCTGTGTATAGAAAGCTGTGCAGACCATAAGGATGTGTATAGCTCAGTGGGTTTTCACAGGGTGATCAACCCGTGTGACTGGCTCTGTGCGAAGCCATGACCTGTGCCTGGCTGGGTGCCTCACACGCAAAGGCATGACTCAGAGCAAGTCTTCCTCGGTCGGTTCCATGGCGCCAAACTTGCAGGCTCACCCTGACTGTCACTGACGAGGAGCCTAAGTTATTCGCTGCTTCGGTGCAGGAAGGAAGGCCGAGGGCTGGAGAAACGGACAGGCAGCAAGCCAGCTTGCTTTGTTGTTGTCAGCAGATCAGTGGCAGTGTGATTGGGCAGCAACGTGGCACTATCAGCCGGGACCGGTTGACCCATAATTACATGCAGTGGGGTTAGAGGTCGGCATGACAACATGTGCAATTACGGTCCTGCGGCAGGTGCGTGCCCCGAGCACCATGCAGTGCCTGGTGGGGAGAAGTGCTTTCGGAGAGCCAGGGAAATCTGTCCTGCCAGCTGCCCCAGTGTGGACGATGGAGTCCAATCGAGCTGCTTACAAGGAGCACAATAATATTTTTTTTCCTAGGCCACATACATGGACCACGCGTCGTGGTGTGCGTGTTACCTGCCAGATGGTGGGGAAGAACAGCACCTCGGGTGAGCCTGCAGGTTGGCTTGCTGGACCGAGTGTTAATGTGTCAGAGGCTCCAGGGGAAGAGCCGCTGCTGCCTCATAGAATTTACCTCCTGGGATAAGAGAGCAAAAAAATTCTCCTTTCCCCACTTCCTTCTTGTAAATCAGAAGCTTGGAGTGTTAAGGTGGCCTTTTGCCAAAAGACCAGCATCAAATATTTATACAGGACCAGGGCGCATAGCTCTCCGTGCACAGGAGGGGAGCTGCTTTACTTTTATTTAAAAAAAAAAAAAAAATGCAGTGATAATGGAGTGTTTTCCAGAGATGGAGGGCTAGCTAACCTTTTGCATCGAGAGCCTTCGTTCCAAGATAGAGCTATTTATATACCCAGTGCGGAGGCTGAGCTAGGGAGCAATGAGGAGATGGGGGTGGGCACGGCCGTAAAACAGGATTGTTTAAAAGCCCAGCTGTCTGCTCTCTGTGGTTCACTGGCTTTTTTGCTGTTACAGATGACCAAATTGTGACAGCCACTCCGAGCTTGCTTCGGAGTTAAGTAGGTGAATCAGCACTCTGGATTCGAGATAGCAGAGCTGAGAGGTGGGAAGACAGAGGCTGGATGAGGAGGCTGGTAGTTAAGGGCCTGGCTTGTTCCTACTTCATGGCCTCAAGTGCCGCTGTTCCTCTCTCCACTGACCTCATGGCCCTTCTCCCAGCCCAGACCTGCGTACCTCTCCCCACTGACTTCACAGCCCTCCCCCGAGGCCTGCAATGGAGAGGAAGGGGCAGCCAGGCCGGGGTGGGAAAGGAAGTCTGGACTGGCTACAGCATCTTCTCTCCCCTCTGGACCTCCCCTCGGCAGCACAATGCCATTGGCAGGCTAGACACCTGCTGTTTGGATCCAGTTGGACCAAGTTGGGCACTTGACTATGTAAAGTATGTGGTAGGCGCCTTATAGGGCTTGGAAGTTTTCCTTTGAGGACATCTGTAGGTAGAGATTTTGGAAATTGGGTGGAACCTATTTCTGTAGAAGCCTCCAGGGGATTTGTGCTGTGTGGATACAATCCCAGAGGAATCATTGAGCATCTTCTGGTGTCCAGCAGCAGGGGCTCCAGCGGGGCCCAGCTTTCAAGATGAGCTAGGCGATGGTCCATGCTTGTCCTGGACCCCAACATTCTTGTTGTTCAGCTGAAGAGCAGCTCTGTGCTTCTCTGGTCACCTTTGCAAAATGTCTGTTGGGAAGGCATTGGACAAACCTGGGGGAAAGCTTTCTAGCAGAGCAGACGAGAGCTTAGAAGTTTTGCTAAAGCTGTTTGATAACAGATTCTCAGGACAGGAAGCAGATAAAAACTGGAGCCTGGTATTGATTAACCCCGGGGATCTTACTTGAAATGAAGCCCATGATCAAGGTGCTGGCAAATTTGCTGTCTGGTGAGACCTCTCTCCCTGACCTGTAACAGCTAGCTCCTTCTCTGTATTCTCATATGGCCCTTCCTCTGTGCAGGGACCGGGGAAGGAGTCAGGTGTACAGGAGACCTGACAGATTAAGGCCCACCCTTATGACCTCAATGATTTCCTTAGAGCAGTGTTTCCCAAAGTGTGGTATGCGTACCCCCAGGAAGAGTTTGGTGGGGGTACGCGTTGCACCGGAGTTTGGTGGGGATATGCACTGCACCGTGCTTAGCTGCACCTAATTCTATGTTCTCATGAGTATGAGGGGTACTCAGTGTTATGAAAATTATAGAAGGGGTACACATATGTCAAAAGTTTGGGAAACACTGCCCTAGAGGCCCTATCTCCAAATAAGTTACTTTGGAGGTTAGAGTTTCAACATAGGATTTGGCCTGGGGTATGGGGCCACAAGCCAGCTTGACTGAACAGTGATTGTAGAGTAGAATCCAGGGACCAGGAGGGAGTCTCTGTCCTCCACCACATTTCACAGATGAGAGGCCAAGTCCCTCCAAGGGATCCCATCACTTACCTTGATAAAGCATGGACCCAAGCCACCTGCTTCTAAGTCTAGTCCTCTTTCCCACAGTCTCTGATCTAAATGAATCTAGGGCATTAGGATACACTAATAATAATAATAATAATAATAATAATAATATAATAAAGACAGAAAGCTCCTCTCTTACTGTCTTCTGCAGGGGTAGGGACCCTGCTGTGATGTTCTTTATACCCTTGTTGCCCAAAACAGCCTTGAATCATGCTATTTGTGGAGCGTACGTTTGTTCAGTTGTACAGAACTCGGAACTTGGCCCAGGGAGATGTTTTCAGTGATAGATCATTTGGGAAAACTCCCCTCCCCCAAATTCTGCCTGTTGACAAGAGCTGCCTAAAGAGCTGTTTGTATGGCAGCCCACATCCTGGGAACTTCCAAGAATCGGCGCAACGAGCATGCATCTGACAAGCTCAGATCTGTTGTGTCATATCTATCCCCGCTTTAAAAAAAAAAAAAAAAAAAAAGTTATCTCACCTAAATATAGGTTTCTTTTAAAAACTGCCTCTTTGCGGCTGTGTTTTGCCCTGAGTAAGTTCTCCCCAGTGCATCCTGACATTGGAGCGTGGAAAAGGAAGGTAAGCGCGTGAAATCAGAGACGGTGATTGCTAACAATGAAATTTGGGCTCATAAAATCAAGGATATTATTCAAAGCGGCGAAGGTAAATTAGCCTCATTCACTCTGACGGGGCTAAGACTCGGGGGCGGCGTGTGCCTCCTCTCATTAACGTGCTGAAAAGATGTTCTGATTGGGATTATTAATGAAGGCGGTGAAAAACCTCTGCTGCTTGTAAGGCTTCTGCCACAGACGGTTTCCAGAAACCACCACCACCCCCTTTTTCTTTTTTTCCTTTTTTTTTTTTTTCTCCAACAGATTCCTTACACAGCTTGACAGATGGAGTATTCATCTTCGAAGCGGTTTCCACAGAAGATAGCAAAACCATGCCGGGCTACGACGCTATTGTTGTCGAACAATGGACGGTCCTGGAAGTAAGTGTGGGGTTGGCAGGGGCACCGCTTTTGTCCGGGCGGGGATGGTTTTATTTGCCTGCCGGGCCTGCCGGGCCTGCCGCTCGCTCAGCTGCGGCTTTCCCTCTGAAAGGCCGTCTGACCCGGTGAACCCTACAGAGCACCCCTTTTTGTCTTCATGCTCCTCCTTTATCCCGTTGGGGGAGGGGCCCCCTGGTCCCCTTTCTGTAGGAGAAGCGCATTGCGTGTCTCGGACCCTTCAGTGGGGAAAGACTCCTCTTTCATTGGTTTGCACAGAAGTGGAAGTTCTAAGGGGGGCATAAAGGAGGCAAACACGCCGTTGGTGGCCTCCCTGCTGATAATAGCAGCATCCTCAAGGGCGCTCCGTCTGCCGGACACCCTGAGAGGAAGGGTGGCCCACAGGTGCTCCGTTCACCTTCACAGTAAGCTTGCCAGGTAGGTTCCGCGTGGCTCCTGTTTGGCAGATGAGGAAACTGAGGCACAGAGGTTGGGTCCCAGGCGTAACATGACGCATCAAGTGCTAAAGGATGTCTTTAGGAAATGTTGACCCCCCGTTAGGCAACCACATGGCAGTGGTGAGCAGAGGAGTCCTGGAGCCACGTTTTTTCTGGGACTTGGGAAGAGCTGGGTTGTTTCTGAGACTTTGTGGTGTAATCTTTGGAGGCACTTCTCTAACTATGGGGCTGTTAGGCTCTGCTCTTGTCCACCCAGCAAATGGGGTGTGTAAGGAGAAGCCGTTTGAATACAGAGGGCTGGCTCCTGGGTGCCCTCCGCAGGCCCTGGGAGGACACAGAGAGGGTGTCGCTCTGAGGAGCCCCCACAAACCCTGCTCCCTGTGCCTGAGACAGAGGCGGGTGCAGGTCTTTGTGAGAGGCGATGGCACATGCGCTCCACACCCCGGTGTCCTTGGGAAGTGACTCCCTCCCCTGGGTGCTGGGGAGGGGCACCCCAAGGGCACTGTTCCTCAGCCTTTAAGCCTGTAGAAGTGAAGTCGGGAGCAGTGATAGGAAATAACTGCTCGCAAGTGCAGCAGCAACAGAGTACAGAGGAAAACTGTACTAATTAGAAACAGGAATTCCAAACACCCAGGGCCTGTTAGGGTTGGGCAAAGAGTCCTGAGAGCACATGTCGTGAGGAAAGTGAGGAATCAGATGATGACCTGGTTTGGGATCAGGCTTCCCCTGTCGCTTCTGCCTGACTTTGGTCCCAGTGAGCCCCAACTGAAAGTGGGGTGCAAAGGAAGCGAGGCCCAGTTCAAAATGCACAGTCCAGCCAGGGCAGGTCACGTCCCCTCTCGGGACCTTAACCTTCCTCCACCACAAGATGGGGCAGTGCAGTTCACCCAGCCCACCAGTAGAGTGAAGGCTCCAGGCAGTGGTAAAATATGAAATATCAGGCTACCGTTGAGGCTCTTGACCCCATTAAAACTGTGTCAACACTCAGTTTGCTCTGATCCCTTGGTTATAACAGCAGGCCGTGCATGCCTGCACCCAAACCAGATACATATGCAGAAGCGATGGGCAGGCAATGAGGATGGGTGTCCAATCTCTTGTTGTCTGCCCATAAAAATGGCTGGCTGTGAAGGGAGGGCATTGTGGTTTCCTCAAGAAAAATGACTTGAGCCAACAACTGGTATGTCTCACTGGTTGAGTGTCGACCTCTGAATCAGAAGGTCACCGTTTGATTCCCCAGTCAGGGCACATGCCTGAATTGAAAGCTTGATTCCCTGTGGAGTATGCAAGAGGTAGCCAATCAACGATTCTCTCCCATCATTGATGTTTCTCTCTCTCCCTCTCCCTTCCTCTCCAAAATCAATGTAAATATATATTTTTAAAAAGAAAGATGACTTGATAGCAGTGATCTAAAACCATCTAAGAAAGTGGTTTTCAAAGGATGGCCCCAGAAGTAACAGTATCAGCACCACCCAGAAGTCATTACAAATGCACATTCTTGGGCCCCACTTGGACCTGCTGAGTCAGAAACTCTGGAGTTGGGTCCCAGGGATCTATGTTTTCACAGTATTTCCGGGGGGTGGGGGAGAGGTTCTGATGCACAGTCAGATTTAAGAACCAGTGTCTAAAAGATAGTAGGGGTGTGACTCTCCAGGTGTCTATGGTGAAAGACATGATGGACAGAGTTCCCCAATGATTTATCTTCTTTAACCTTTGAAATGTTCTGTGTCCTTGATGGGGAACTGCAATGAATGCATTCTGCATAAAATATTTGTGGGAGGGAGGTATAAATAAGGACATTTGTCTTTTTAATTTGAAGAGGTCAAACTGATGGGTTAAGAAGTTTAGATCAGAAAAGATTAACATTTATTCAGGAACTTTTTCTTGGAATTGGAGATTGGTTTTCATTAGATTTGTCAATTTTATTTCTTTCTCGGATGTTTGAACTTTTTCCTCTTGACCTCTTGCATGTTTGTGCATTAATCTATCTCGTGGTATTAGTGTTTTGGATCTTGTGGTTGTCCTCTGTCCCCACCCATGCCAACACACACACACACACACACACACACACACACACACACACACACTCAGTCACTCATTCCAAGAATGCTTTGGCTTTTCCCCTAAGCATCTTTGGAAATGATCCAGGATTTTAAAGACCTGTGATCAGCCCAGGGGTGAGCATTGGCTTACAAAACCATTTCTGTGTTTTCCCAACTCCATATTCAGTGATAAAAATTCAGACAGGTTGCTAGCTTGAAATTGGCCACGATGGAAGTCTTCCACCATGGAAATTGGCCGATGCTAGAAATTAAAGTCTTCTTTTCTTGCCTGGGGAGCCCGTTGTAACTGTTTACCAGCACACCACTGGGTGGGCCTTTATTTTCTCACATCTCAAATGATAAGGTACAGGTGTGGCTGGCATCTGGCTGGGCAGGAACAGATTTTCTGAATTGCATGACCAGTGGATCGATGGCTTTGGTGTTGTTCATCCGTTTTCCCTGCTCACGTCTCCAGACTTGCTCTTCCCTCTGGTGTCTGTGGAGCACCCCGAAGCTGCCCACGGTGGAAGGAGACAGCTGTCCCGTTTAGCAGCATCAGCCTCTCAAGGGGAAAAGGAGAGTAGATCCCTTTGGGGGGGACTGTACCCCTGTTGGTTTCTCTTCTTGTTTGCAGCTGACGTAGGCAATTTCAGGGATCAGCTCAGAGGTCACCTGCACCCGGAACCTTCCAGACTCCTTTGGGGTTAAAGACACTTCCCTTGTGTTCCCATAATTCTCTCCACATGAACCTGTTGGGCTCCTGTTGTACTCACCTTTATTAATCTACTTTTCTCCCTTTACTCTGAGCCTCTTGGCCTGGGGATGTTCAGGGATTGTTCTCCGTGTCACCCAGAAATTACTTCCTGAATTGCGTTGCAGGCTTTTTGGTTCAGCCCAAGGGTAGACCAGTGTTCTCAAAACTGAGCTTGTACCAGAATCACCTGGAGAGCTTTTTAAAACACAGACAGATACCTACCCAAACCCCGAGTTTCCTATTCAGCCTACTTTGGGAATCCAGCCTTGGAGGAACCACATGTACACAGCTGTGTTGCCAGCACAGCCTGCAAGTGTTCAACGCAGGACAGGTTTGCCCAGAGCTCAACTCTCCAACAAGGCTCTGACCACAGACAGGGGCCCCTCCTCTGCATGCCCTCCAGGTGTGTGGGGTTGGTCCAGCTCCCTGGCCTGCCACCCTCCAGACCCAGCTACTTCCTCTCTTCCCACCCCTTTGGCCTCTGGGGAAGGTCTTTTCAGTTCAAGCCCTGGTCAGGTCAGGCTCCTCTTAGCTTGTGGTTCACCCTGCTTTCCTGGCAACCACTGTGCTCCCAGGCCACCCTGTGAACCCTTCCGCTGTGAGCACAAAACATGTCTGATCAGCTTTCTCTCTTTTTTTTCATGTTTGGCATCGGCTTGTCCCTTTCCTGTGAATATTACTGCTCTAAGCTCTGTGTGCTTTCAGTTCAGCCACATCTTCCTGGCTTCCCTCTGTACACACACACACACACACACACACACACACACACTTTCACAACAAAACCTACCTCACTCTTCACAGCCCTGCACACAATGCTAAATGCTGGAAAGAGAACGTAGATTGTAGAGTCTGGCCTGCGCACATCCTGGCTTGTCTTGCTCCCAGCTGCGAAACCACGTGTATGAGAAGTAAACCACCCCCTCTTTGTTATTCTACTTTTCAGTTGTGTACATGGGGACACTGGTAACAACATTTCAAAGTTGATGAGAATTAAAATAATACATTAGAAGGTTGTGAACATAGTAGTTGGCATATGGTAAGCACCACTTTTTTTTATTGGTCACCTGGTCTGATCATCAATTAGAAAGATCTCTCCCTATTGCCTTGATCTTGTTCTAAAAGCACAGACGAGGTTGGGCTAGGGAAAGTGTGGAGTCAAATGCAAATAGTTGTGTCTTTTCTCAGTTGGAAAACTCTGGCCAAAATCAAAGGCAGTTGTGGATAAAAGTCCACCCATAGGGCATGCGTAATGGGCATTTTTGTTTTACATTCTTTGAGTTTACAGTCCAGAGTGTGAGCAGAAAGGGTAATTCCTTGCAAGGAAGGTGAATACTACCTGGATGAATAACAAAGAGAAAGATTCGAGAGACAGAGAGAGGGACTCTCTTCTCTCTGAGTGTGCACATCCTTTGGCCTGAGTCCCCAGCAGAGTTTGGGGATGCCATCCGGTCCTTTGAGCTTTACAGGCTTCTTCATCTCCATTCCCTGGAGTTCTTCAGTGCTACTTACAAAATGTGCTTCCAACCCTAGCCCATTTGGGTCAGTGGTTGGAACATTGGCCCTTGGACTAAAGGGTCATGGGTTCAGTTCTGTTCAACAGCACGCCTCTAGGTTGCAGGCTCTGGCCCCAGTCTATGGAAGGTAATCAATTGATGTGTCTCTGTCACATTGATGTCTCTCTCTCTCTCTCCCCACACACCTCTCTCTCTCTCTCTCTCCCCCCCCCTCCCCTTCTTTCCTTTCTCCCTCTCC